CTCTGTCATATAATTTCTATCAGCTCATACATGCACTTACGTGAGAGTCGTCACTAATGCATTGTTCCCTGCTGAACAGTTTCAATTCCTAATCACCGTTTCTGCTGTTGTCTCCTGGCTACTAACCACCTTATCACTAACACTCTCAACAACGCAGATGTGTGCAGAGCAAAGCAGACAGGAGGGGAGGATGCATTTTCTTGTACCTGCTATACCTTTTCTTAACAGCAGAGGACAGCAGTAGCCATGGCATATGGGAGCTACCCTCAGTTTACACTTTTCTTTTACAACAAAGATTTGTGTCCCATCTATGAGGTCCCACTGAGGACCTGTTAGCTCTTCTTGAAGGTTGAAAAACTTAAAATCAATTTAGAATCCTATAAAAAAGGCAGGTAAACCCTTTTGAATTATTTGTTGTAGCTGTTACTGTGGTTAAAGCCTACATTTACATCGTTATGTGGAATTTCACCAAAGGAAAAGTAGCTATTCCATTATCATACCTGTTTTTGAATCATCCCAAAATCTCTCCATTTTATTGGTTACTTGGTTGGGAGGTTGAGAGCACTGTTTTTTTCTGTGGTGTCCGGCTGGAATAGAGCAGTTAAACCTTTCTGCTGCTTTTGGCTGCTCTTTTTCCCGGTCCTTTTGCTAGAGAGATAAGGTTTTTGTTGGGAATTTTTCCCCCCAGGATTTTCAACCTCTTCAGCTCCAAGTCTCGATTCATGAGACAAAAAGAAAAACCCAGGGAACTCTCCACCGTGTTGTTCCTCATTGCCCATAGTTCCTGGCTGGTCTCTCTGCATCTCTCCACCTTTCAGAGTCTTCTAATGTTTATTGTATATATAATGTCCTAAGTCTTTGGCTGTATCAATGAGAAGAATAGGAAACAATATGTTTATTCCAACTTTCTGGAGGCATAAGTCCAACCAGTCCACTTTGGAGTAATCAGTGAATTATCAAGGCAATCAATAGAATATTTGTTTCCCTTTTTTTATATCTACATGTTCTAAGCTTTCTAAAGTAGACACAATTTTTGCAATAAAGAAATATACTTTATTTTTAAAATTTTTCCATTTCAAACCATGTATACCGCATTATACCCTTCCTGGCTATCACCAACTCTCTCCCTCTCTCTCTCTGTCTTTTCAAATACAAGCAAAAGTTTATTTAGAAAGTCACAGAGGTAGAAGAAGTGGGTGGTGGAGGAAGTGGCCATCTGGGCTGCGTGGACTCACCAAACAAGTTTTAGAGGCAAAAGAAGGGCCCTTGGAGCTTAGGAGAAATAAAGCAAGGACATAAAGGCTCAGGTGTGCTCCACGGGAGGGGTGGCGGGGAAAGGTGTGGGGGAGAGGGAGAGAAAACGTGCCTATCGCCAACTCTTTTCACAAGGTTAGTGGCGTCAGAGGAGGTGGCCACAGCACATTAAATTAACAGTGTTGCAGATTGTGTTCCCCTGAAATAGAATTTTTTTGCTTGTTTACTTTTTAATTTTTTAATATGTGATTTTGTATTAGTTTCAGATGTACAGCATAGTGGTTAGTATTCCCCTGATAAATCAAGTACCCACCTGGCACTATGCATTGTTCTTACAATATTATTGACTGTATTACCTATGCTGTACTTTATATCCCTGGGACTACTTTGTAACTACCAATTTGTACTTCTTAATCCTTTCACCTTTTTCACCCAGTCCCCCTGAATCCACTCCCCTCTGGAAAGCATCAGTATGTTTTCTGACTCTATGAATCTGTTTCAATTTTGTTTGTTCATTCATTTTGTTCTGTAGATTCCACATATAAGTGAAATCATATAGTATTTGTCTCTCTCTGGCTGACTTATTCCACTTAGTATAATATCCTCTAGGTCTATCCATGCTGTGGCAAATGATAAGATTCTTCTTTATGGCCAAGTAATATTCCATTGCATATGTGTACCACAGCATTTTTAAAAATCCATTTGTCTATTGATAGACGGTTTCTTCTATATATCGGCTATTTTAAACAACAGATTTTGCAAAGAAACAGATTTTGAGGTAGAGTGTTATGAGAAGGATGTTTATTAAGGAGTGCCCTTAGAACGAGCAAAAGATCCCTTTCTCATCTTTTGTATGTAGGTATGTGTGTCAGTTTGGGACGCTGGCTAGTAATCAGCCATCCATCTCCTCATTACACTTGCTGCAGCAGAATTGCTACCATGATGATGCATGTTGCTGTAAAAAATATCGGCCTTTATCTGATTGGGTGTATTCACTTGATGCCTGAACTGATATCTCCGCCCAGAGGAAGAGGCCTGTTGCTTTGAAATACATAGGTATTTATGCATTCGTCTCTTGATGAATTTTCAAGATAGAAAAAGAAATAAAGTGCCGGGCAGAGCTCATTGTAGTGGACAAGTCCCCACCTGCACTTTAATTCAGTGGCATTCGTGTAAATTGTGGGTCTGCTCGGCTAACACCCTGCACGGTGGACAAACTAGGTTTGTGTTAAAGAAGCGCTTTGGGGTGGGTGAGTGGGGATGCATAAAACAAGACTTAAAGAGGGACACAAGATAAAGCCGTGGTCTACAGAATCATGAGATCAAGCCATTTGTAACTAGGATGTATCAGCCTCTGTCATAGAGTAAAATTGATCGCTTTGGGGGAAAGTTCCCCTTTCTCCCTCTCTACCCCATAGCCTCTTGCATTCCCAAGAGGCTACCCAAAGCCCCTCTTAGCTCTTTGAGAGCATGTCTGTTTCTCTGCTTCTGCCTGTATTCACTGCTTCAAGAGTCCACTCCAAGGACACCTTGATCTGTTTGGTGGTCTTTGTATGTTAGAAGTCACAAGGTGGGATTTTCCAGTCATCCGTCAGAGCGACTGAGAAGGACTTCCACTGGTCCTCCTAAACCACCATTCCTCCCAGAACGCCTCCTTCCTCACCTCTACCTTTGCCACACACATTTGGTCTCCGGAGAAAGTCCCTATGTTTTACTGGAAACCTAGCAAACACTACTGCCACAGAGCACAATGAGCAAAGAATCGCAAAGCTGGGCAGATGACTCCCACACCCAATGCAAACACATGTGTTTCTCAGAACCATTTTACTCAAATTCAACTTTTATCATCTATTGTTAAAACAATGATTTTTATAGACTCATGAAATTTATTTACAACTTCTTAAAATGGAAAAGTGTCATTTCTTTCATAAAATAGACACTTTAAAAATGCGTCATCTTATTTCTAAGGTCGTATGATTTTTCAGTTTTGGAATTGCCTTCCACACGCACATATAGTATACAGTGTTCATTAGCTCACAGCGTTTTGGATTATTCTGCGACATATCTAACCCCTTTCCGTGTTCCTAGATTCTGAGTATTTATGTCACTTAGAATTTTCATTTTATATTTATTGAAAGATATATTTCAGACTTAGATATTTTGTCATCTACCTCTCTTGCCCAAAGGAAAACATAAGTGAAATAAATTGGTTGGTATTTCTAAGGCAGTGACTTGTCACCTGGCTGACAGCAATTTAAAACCACACTGATTTCAGCCCAGCCCATGTAATTTGGTGGATTGAGCGTCGTCCCATGGGCTAAGAAATCCCAGTTCAAGTCCCGGTCAGGGCACATGCCCGAGTTTCAGGCTCAATCCCCAGTGGGGGGCATGCAGGAGGCAACCCATTGATGTTTCTCTCTCACATCGATGTTTCTATCTCTCCCTTCTTCTCTCTCTAAAAAATCAATACAAACATTAAAAAATAAAATAAAACCATGCTAATTTCAGCGATGTTAAAATAAAAAAGATATGATTAATCACCGTGAACACGTCCCTTTGCTTAATAAAAACAATCCTCGCTCCATTGAAACTCTTTGTATGTACCTCTCAGATTACTCCTTCCTCTCCCCTATAGATATCCGCTATTCTGAATTTTGTGTTTATCATCTCCTTGCTTTTCTCTACACCTTAGCAAATACTTGTCCCCAAACATATTGTTTAATCTTGTTTCTGAACTGTTCTGCAAATGGAACTATATCATAAATGTTTTTCTGACTTACTTCTATTAAACTTTCTATGAGATTCATCTATACCAACATGGACAGCTGCCATTTACTTTTGCTGTTATATTATATGCGCTGTAGGCATATACCACCATTAATCAGTTCTTCTGTTTGATGAACATTTGGGGTTTTGCTATTACAAATTGTTTTATTATTAAAAATCTCCGAGTTGTCTCCTAGCAGGCATATGTGAGCGTTTCTTCACGGTATATACCCGAGAGAAAGGAGAATTGTTAACATTAGATCCATGGTGGGGAAGCCTTTTCTGGAAAGTGATAGACAGTTAATAAATTAGACTTTGCAAACAATACAGTCACCGTTGCAACAAGTCAAATTTGTCGTTTCAATGTGAAAGCAGCCATAGACTATATCAATGAGTGGCTGTGGCTATGTTCTAATAAAACTTTATTTACAAAACCAGGCAGTTAGCAAGATATGGTCCTTAGGCTACCAGTTCCTAACCTAGATGATAAACTTTACTATTCTGATTGTCTACACCCCCTCTTTCCTTCCCAATTTATTCCCTGAAGAGACGTGAGTCCTGTCTTCACTTAGTTGATGGGCTGGACTGAATGTTCAGGGACCTTTGGGGACAAGAGGAAGAAGGGATGGGGACTTGGTGGTGGTGGTGGTGCTTCCCAGCCCGTGGTCTGTCACTTGCAGCCCTGGTCTTGGGGAAATCAAAGGCAGAGAGGGGTTGAGACAAGGCAGGAAACGCATATTGGGCGTGGGTGCAACTGGGTTTCTGCATGACTGGAGGCTGGGTCTCAGACTTTAGCACAGTTTACATCACAGAAGCCACTGTGAAGTCATTACCAGGCTAGGGGACCTAGAAAGTCAAACAAAAGAAGCGCATCTTTTGGAGTTGTACAGTTTCCTTTATTAAAGAAAGCTGGCGTTGTTTCTCTAGAGATACTTTCCTGAGGCGGGGTCTCTGTTGCACCTTCCTGCCCTGGCTGCTATTTAAATGGATTTGGCTTCAATGACGATCGTCTCCATCATCTGCGAGGTCACAGTCCCACAGATCTCCAGATCCTGGCCACCCGGGGCTTGATCTACTGTGGCCTCTATGTTGTGCTTCTCTACCTTCTTAGCCTTGAAGTCCATCTCCCTGTTGTGTGACGAGACCTCAGTTTTTGAACCGCGGGTGACTCGGAAGCTCCTGAAGAAGGAGCCAATCCTACTGGACTTCTTGCTCAAAGTGCCCGAGCTGGTGGACCTGCTCTTCCCCACCTTGCAAGCTATCCTCGCCTCCTTCGCCGTGGAGCTGCGGCTGGCACTCTTGCGGGTGCCGTGTCTTCTGCCCTTTGCGCTGCTCGACCCCTTTTCTTTGTTGTCGTCTCTCGTGCTTTTATGGCCAGAGGATGACTGGTGGGAGGAGGATTTCCGGACCGCCTTGCTCCCTCCTCTCCTGCGGTGATGGGAAGCTTTCCTAGAGACCCTTCTCTCCTTCTTTTCGCTCTTTTCATTTTTGTCCCTCCGAGCTTCTGTGGGCTGGGAGGCCTCCTGGCTTCCATCCCGTTCACTGGCGAAGCCTTCGCTCTTCAGGGTGGACGCCAGGGGTCCTGATACTTGGCTCTCAGTTCTTTCTACGTCCGGGTTTTTGGCTGTCACCGCACTGACAAACGTCACGCTGGTGCTGCTCTTCGGGGAGAGACTGGCAGCGCCCGCCGTAGCGATGGACGTACCTAATGAGGACGAGCTGGCAGCACCCACCAAGAGCACGTTCTTGCCTTCCGAGGTCACGTTGGTAGCACCCGCCACAACCGTGCTGGGTCCACCTTCCCCTGGACCCTTGGTGGTGGCTCCAGCCAGGGCGGAGCCTATCTGGCCTGCTTCTGTATTCTTGGTTGCTGCTATGCTCAAAGCACCCGCGGTGGGACTTGCTCCCGCTCCTGCTGCTACCACGTTTGCGGTGGGGCTTTTCACCGCACCTGCTGCTGCCACTCTCGCTGCGGGGCTTTTTCCTGCTCCTGCGGCCGCCACCCTGGCTTGAGGGCTTGTTAGCACCCCTGCTGCTGCCATGTTTGCTGTGGGACTTGTTGCTGCTCCTGCTACTGCCAGGCCTGTGGGTGCCCCCTTCGCTGCTCCTTCAGCAGTCACTGGAGTTTTCTTGACGGGAGTTGAACCGGGCATGCCTTCTCCCCCAGCATAGCCAGAAGAAGTGGCTCTGGACACATCGCAAAGATTGCACAGCCTCGCCTCATTCTGATCTTCTCCAGGGAACTCTGCGGTCTGTGCCAAGGGGAGGAGAAGCAGGTGAGACAGAGACGGCAAAGTGAGACCACAACAGTCCGCGCTCTCTCTCGTCCTGGAGCTGAGCAACTCCAGGACTTCCAATTAGAAGCACCTTCGAAATCGTTAAGTCTAAGCCCCCATGCGATGCAGCATCCCATTTACAGCACCCCTGTCTAACAGTCGCTCGGTTTTGCTTGAACGATCCCCATGCCAGCACTGATTTAATTCCCAATCCTCGTATACTTTTTTTTTTTTTTTTTTCTCTGCAGGACAGATTCTTACAAGTGGGACTGCTGAGTCAAGGGTTTCTCACATTTGACATTTCAGTAGCTGCTAAAAGAAATCATGCGTGTGCAGAGACACAGGTGGGTTGTGCTAATATGAACCAGCAATGGTAGTCACAGGGAGACAGAGGAAGGACGAGACAACCTGGGTTGGGGCAAGTGTTCAGGAAGGGGTGGGGCAATCAGTATGCTGTAGATGGGATTACCACCCTGGGTAAGAGACCGAGTGGCTGGCACCTAAGGTCTCTCTGAAATTGGCCTTGTGGGACAATTTGGAGAAACATTTGAAATCTCCCTAGTGTGGTAAGTACCACCGTGGTGGCCTTGAACCTTTTAAGGCTGGAATGCAGCCCGGCCAGGGTGGCTCAGTTGGTGGAGCATCATTCCATGCACCAAGAAGTCACCAGTTTGATTTCCGGTCAGGGTACATGCCAAGGTTGTGGGCTTAACCCCCAGTAGGGGGCATGTGGGAGGCAGTCAATCCATGTTTCTTTCTCTCTCTCTCTCTCTCTCTCTCTCTCTCCATCTCATTACCTCTTTCTCTAAAAAATCAATTAAAACAGAATGTATTTCCCAAGGGAGCTTCAAAGAGCACCAAAGGCTTTGTAGGACAAGCTTTGAGCTGTTCTCCCCAAGCACCCTGCCCCACTAGCTTGTCTCTAGATGCTTACCAGCAGGCTCCCTTCATCTCCCCCGGTTTGTTGCGTCGGGGTACTGCTGCAACTCTCCACCGGTGGTCTCAGGAGATAGACAAGTTTTTCCCAGTAGCAAAATAGGTCTTCTCGGGCATTTGGAGAGGGACACAGTTGCAGATAAAAAGTACGACCCGTGGCAAGCTTCAGGCGCAGCTGCTGTTTCTCACGATTGTGGATGGAGATCTTGACAAACTTCAAGGGCAGCAGCCTGGTGAGCTCTAGGATCTTCCCAGGCCTGCGACCTCTCCCCTTGGTGGGCCGGGCGTGTCTGGCATGCTCCTCACAGACTTTAGTTGGTCGGGCCAGCAGCATGACGTCAGGTAGTGGGAGGATGGGGCTGGTGGATGCGATGCCCACGGTCACCATTCGGATGCGATTGTGTACGTCAATCATCTCTCCTTTTTTGCTGATCTGGATAAAGTCGCTCTCAAACATTGGTGCATGCTTGAAGATATCATACTCTCCTCCCTTGTACAGCTGTCGCTGCAGGTCCCCCATGCAGGTATTGAACACGCCCATTGAACGGTAGCTGTGGGCCGTGTAGTAAGGTAACACACATTCGCTGCTCATGGTTCTCTAAGTTTAAGACAGCTCCACTAGCCATAAATCAAGTCTCCGAGAGAGAGGGAGTGAAGTCCACCGCCCATCTCCCTGCAGGGTTCTGCCTAAATCTCCTAACCCCACTGCACTTACCCTTATAGTCCTTTGTGACCTGTCCCTATTACACACCCCTTTGTCCAGCCCCCAAGTGGCCACCCCCTTGGGACAGGGGTCACCAGTCTCCCTCCCAAACAAACCACCACCTCTAAGGGCGACAGGCTGACCCAGCCAGGGTGTAGGTGTGGGTAGGCTGGATATTCTTCCTCATCAAAATGTTGGAATGCATAATTGACGAAACCATCCTGCTTTTGTAAATATCGGGTTGTTTCCAGTTTTGTCGTTGTTGTCACAGACATCCCTGCAACGACCATCTTCCTGCAAATCTACTTCCGCTTTTTCTGAAAAACTGCCTGGGGATAAAATCCTGGAAGTGGGTTCCGTGCCAACGATCGGCGTTCTCCAGGTGCCCAGTGAGTAGCGTAAAGCTGGCAGGTGTTCAGAAGCTGAAGTTGTTGAATGAATGGTCCTCAGGGGCTTCTGCCGCCTCTCAGAACGCGCGTCCCATGCGTACATTGGTTCCCAGGGTATGGAGATGTTCTCACCCACTTCCTCGTTGGAAGGAGGCTAACTTTTTTAGAATTAATTTATTTATTTTTGTTACAGATGTTTCCCCTTTCCCCACCCTTGACTCCCTCCTTGAAGGAGGCTAATTTGTAAAATCACAATTTTATGGTTAGGGACTGAGGCTCAGAATTAATTTGCTCGGGGTCAGCAGGCAGAGCTGGATTCTATCCCAGGTCTTGAGACTCAGGTCAGGGATTTTTCTCTGCCTCAAGCTGCATGGCTCACCCTTCGATTCTGACTTTGCTCCAAATATGGAATTGCTTTCGGTTAGTCATATGCGTGGGGACTTACTGGGAACCACAGGAATTCACAGAGGTCTTGAATCACCACAGGATTCCCCACACTGGTGTGCCTGCTGCTTCGCTCTTGATGTCTACCTGATAAATCACTGAAGTTTGGTTTCTTTGAAAAGCTCTTCAGAGAAATTATGGCAAAGACATCTTTGTGGAGTTTTTTCTTTTTTTTCTTTTCTTTTTTACTTTGCACAAGGTAATAAATCCAAATTTCCCCTCCCTCAGTAAAAAAACTACTTCTGAGTTGAAAGACATCCGCCAAACTCAGTGATTACTCTGTAAAGGTCTTGAAATAAACTCAAACCCCCAAATGTTCATTTTTCTATCCCTGGAACCTACTTCAGTACCCGGCACATTGCATCTTGTCAATAAGTATGAACTTGCTTGTGCTCATTCACATTCAATCTTTCATTCGTTCAACAAAATGTATCGAGCAAGTATTATTTTCGGGATGGGTCAGAAAATGCAAAGATAGTCTCTAAAGCACTAAAGCACTAAAATGCTTTTTCTAAAGATGTTAAATGACTTCTCCAAAGAAAAGAACAAAGTGGCTTATAGTCTCTTGTAAGGAGATAATCACTCAAAGTTAACACTCTTAGGTTTAAAAATAAGAAGTGAGGTTTTTCTATATTATACCTGATCACGTATTCTTCTCATAAGTCCATTTCTTTCTTTCTTTCTTTTTTTTTAGAGGATGTTTATTAAAGCTGGGGACAGTAAAACAAGAAAGGGCTGGGGAGCCCTGGCCGGTTTGGCTCAGCGGTTAGAGCGTCAGCCCGTGGACCGGAGAGTCCCGGGTTCAGTTCCCGCTAAGGGCACGTACCTCGGTTGCAGTTCGTCCCCGGCCCTGGTTGGGGTTGTGTGGGTGGCAGCCACTCGATATGTCTCTCCCACATCGATGTTTCTCTCTCACTCTTCCTCCCTCTCTCCCTCCCGCTCTGTCTGAAGATAAATGCAAAAATGTCCTCGGGTAAAGATAAAAAAAAAAGAACGAAAGAAAGGCTGGGGAAATGAGCCTAGGCTGGGCTGCTTTGGCTCACTGGGAAGTTAGAGAAAGAAGGCTTTTGGGACAGGGTCAGGGGCTTGTCTGGCACAAACTGCCGCTGCCCATTGCTGCCCTGGTTGTAAGCCTTGCGGGGGCACTCAGAGTTCAGGAGATGCATGCCTGTGGGAAGTAGAAGGGGCGGGGAAGGAAGAGGTGCCAGCCTGTTCCCAGGGAGAAGAATACACTGTAAGTCCATTTCTGATGAAGAACTAATAATGAGAGAAATCAATCATATTATCAAGAACTTAATATAAATAAGGCATGATGCTACCCACTTAACATTGAAAAAAATTTAGTGCCCTGACTCAGCACTAAAATTTAGTTTGGCTCAGCAGTTGGAGCGTCAACCCATGGACCAATGAGTCACGGGTTCCATTCCAGTCAAGGGCACGGACCTCGGTTCCTCCCTGGCCTTGGTTGGAGTCATGCGGAAGGCAGCCACTTGATGTGTCCCTTCCATGTTGATGTTTCTCTCTCTCCCTCCCACTCTATCTGAACAAAAATGGAAGAAAAAAACATTTTTAGTGTTCGCAACAGCCCTATAAAATGTAGGTATAGCTGCCATTCCTGGTTCATAGAGGAGGAAATCAAGGCTCAGAGAAGCAACTTCATCAAGGTCACAAGAAACCAAAAGCATATGGAAATCCCCAAAGGTGGAAATGGTGAAGCTACATCAGACTAGGTCACACAAATAGAACACAAATATGCAAGTACTATGCAGCATAAATTCATCCATTCATTCAATTAATATTAAATGCGTACTTTATGCCAGGCCTTGTTCTAGATGCTAGGGATACAGCAATGAACAAAAACCCAAATATCCTTGCTGTCATGAAGCTTGTGTCTAGACTATAAATGAGTAAACTATTTGGTACGTCCAACGCTGATAAACACTATGGAGAAAAATAAAGTAGGCAAGCGGGGGTATGTGCAGGGGATAGGGAGCTAGACGTGGTGATCAAGGAAGGCTCAATGAGAAGTGACCTTAAGCAAAGACCTAAAGAAGTTCAGGGAGGAAGCCATGCAGATGTCTGGGGAGTAGCTTCTCAGTCAGAGGAAATAGCAAGGGCCAAGATTTGGAGGCAGGAATATTCCTGGTGTGTTGGAGTAATACCAAGGAGCCTACTGTGACAAGAGTGAAGTGAGGGAAAGTGGTTAGAGATGAGGCCAAGAGGTAACTGTAGTGATGATGGGGGGTGAGCAGATCATCAGGATGAACCTTGTAAGAGATTATGAGGTCTTTGGCTTTGCTCTGAATGGGAGATGATCAGATGTCTATATAGAGATAGAGATAGATATAAATACAGATAGATAGATAGATACAAATAGATAGATATAGATAGATATATACAGAGGGAGAGAGTCATTCAGGCTGCCATGATGAAAAGAGATTGAAGAGAAACAAGGGGTACAGGAGTGGAGACTGAATGGCTCCCACAAGAGATGACGATGGTAAGACGTGTGTAGTAGCAGTAAAAGTAGTTAGAAGTGATCGGCCACCAGACCTGTTCTGATGGAGACAACTATCATGGATACTGATGCTGAACAATTTTCAATAAATATTAGTAAGTAAAAAAGCAAGTTGCAAATTAGCATATGTGGTATTCCATATATTATTGTTGACAGCATTACAGATGTCTCCCATTTTCTCCCTTTTCGTCCTCCTCCACCCAACCCGTTCCTGCCAAACATTTTTAATAAAAATGTTTAAAATTGTGTGTGTGTGTTTGTGTGTGCGAAAGGATGCATGAGAAACTAGTAACAGGAACAACCTTGGGACAACTTTTGGCTGAGAGAAAGGGTAGAAGGGAGACCTCACTTTCCAGGGAATTCTCATTTGTATCTATCAGTATATGCAAAGTTCCATTGAATATACAACTTACACAAAGGTAAACTATATTTTTAGTTTGTAGATTTATAAAAAATGTATATTTTATAAATTTAGAAAGTATAAGAATAAAATTATATTCTTAGACTATTTATTGATGTAAGCCTTGAGACAGAAAATAAATTTTTAAATAGTTTTGTTCACATTTAGCTCTCTTTGACACCAAATTTTAGAATTTGAGAACCAAAATACAAATTGTGATTCAAAATTAATTTTCTGAGTTTTCAACAACCTTTCAAAAATGTTGTCTCTTCTCCCGAAGTTTAAAACTCTGACACATCCCCTATTTTAAAAGTGGAGATCAATTCATCAAGATACATTATTGATTGCCCATCGTGTGCCCATCATTGTGCTGAGAGTATTCCGGTTGTCAAAATATAAGTTTCAAATATTTGTAAACATGACTTTTATACAAATATAGAATGAAAACATGCCAGTGATTTGATTAACTTGTCGATAAGGGAACCAGAGGGAGATGAAGCCGATTCAAAAGGGCATTAGGACTCTGCATTGGCACTGGAGGAGGAATGTTGGCTAACACTGCCAAGCTAGGTTTTAAAAACTGGTTAAATGTCCACAGGGCAGGAAAAGAATAACTTGTGGGGTTATCTCTTCCACTAAACAAAAAATGTAAGTTATTACAGAACTTCATGGAGCCTGAGACTCTAATCAATATTAGCTTTCTTGGAGGGCTAAAATGTTCCAAAATTACATTGTGCTAGGGACACAACTCTGTGAACATACTAAAAACTACTGACTATACACTTATAATGGATACATTTTATGGTATAAGAAATGTATCTGAATAAAGCTGTTAGAAATAATAGACAGCAATACTTCAGTCTTGATTTATGATTTATTCCTGGATTTATGTCTTACTTTCTTCTCTTAAATAATTAAATAATTCATGGGCAGGCATGTTAAACAAGCTTTATGTTTGTTTTTGTTAATCCTTACCTGAGATATTTCTCCACTGAGATATATATATATATATATATATATATATATATATATATATATTAGATATAGTGGAAGGGACAGAGGGAAAAAGAGAGAGAGAGAGAAACACTGATGTGAGAGAGACACATCAATTGGTTGCTTCCCACACAACCAGGGATCG